TTTCTAGGATATGCCAGAAAAAGCATTGAAATTACAATAATTGTACTGTAATTCAAACAATTTGACAAAATTATAATTTAATTTTTTTTAATTTCTTTAATTTTTTTAATTTCAAAAAATATATATTTGTATAAAATATTTAATAATAATTATTTATAAATATATTTTAAATTCATTATTAAACTGTTAATATAATTATATGTTAAAATCAATTTTGAAATAAATAATTTTATAAAAACAAATTATTATTGTTTTCATATTGATTTTATAAATCAATTAATGATATATTTTTTTAAATTTTAAATTAATATAATAATAATATAATTCTAATGTTTTTATGTGAATTTATAGACTGGTTTCTAATTAATATATATATATATATATATATTTAGCAACAAATATATATTTGTTGCTATAAATATATTTTAAAAATAACAATTAGTTTTGTTGAATATAATTAATTGTTTTTTTTAAAATAAATTTTTGCTAAAAATATTAGTAAAATTATTAATATTATTTAGTATAGTTAGAGATGAAAAAAAACTAATCACTCAATAAAAAAAACCTAATAAATTATTTAATTATCATTTATTTTATTATTATAAAAAAATAGTTATTATTAAAAACTAAAAGTTTTTTTTGTGTTAATGCTATCTAAGGTATGCTAACTATATGTATATATTTTTTTTTAAAAAATATCTAAATTTAATGAAATGTTACATAACTTTTGATTTGCAAACAGTTTTATCAAAAAATAAATAAAAATATTTTTCAACAGAAAACATTTGGTCCTATTATACATTTATAAACCTATACTACATTTATAGCCATAAAAAGGTCTAATAATTAACTGTTAATAATAAAGTAATGTGTGTTTTGAATAATGTGTTTATTATTATTATTATTAACAACAACAACAACAAAAATATGAAAGAATACTTTTGGTCCTATTATACATTAATAAACCTATACTATATTTATAGCCATAAAAAGGACTAAAAAAAAAATTAACTGTTAATAACTTAATAATAATAAAGTAATGTGTGTTTTGAATGATATGTTTATTATTTATTTATTATTTTATTTTTTATATAATTTTTTTTTATTTTTTTGATCAAACATTTAGTGTAAATATTCGGTAATTTGTTGTTGTTGTTGTTGACCACCGATTTTTCGGGTTTCATGAACACCCGAACTAACCAACGTATACTCATATTGTACGGCTCGCAGACTGGCCAGGCCCAGGCTATCTCGGAGGAAATCTACGACCACTTGGCCCGAGGCCATCAACTGGAAGTATTGCGCGAACAGGACGGCCAATTCGGTGGTATCGGTGTTGACCGACTACCGCTATCGGCCATCGATGACAACGGCGGCAACGGTGTTGGCCATCAGTTTCAATTGGAAACCGAACATACAGTCATATTTGTAGTGTCCACTACTGGCGAAGGCGAACCGCCCGAACAAGCGGTCAAATTTTTTAGGCGATACCGGCGACGGACTCACCCGCGCGGACTACTCGGCCACTTATCCTATACGGTGTTGGCGTTGGGCGACACAAACTACGAACGATTTGCCAATTTTGGCAAAGATTTAGGTTTTTTTTTTAATCTCTTGTTTTGTTTTTTGTAGAGAAGTTGTTCCCAAAAAAAAAACTTTATTTTAAGACATCTTTTTCTTGTTGTTGTTGTTGTTGTCGTCGGAAGATATCTGATGACTAACTACTTATGTCTTACTTTTTAAAGTCTTTTTTTTATCTGTTGTTGTAGTTTTTGTAGAGAAGTTGTTCCCCAAAAAAAACTTTTTATTTTAAGACATCTTTTTCTTGTTGTTGTTGTTGTTGTTGTCGTCGGAAGATATCTGATGACTAACTACTTATGTCTTACTTTTTAAAGTCTTTTTTTTATCTGTTGTTGTAGTTTTTGTAGAGAAGTTGTTCCCCAAAAAAAACTTTTTATTTTAAGACATCTTTTTCTTGTTGTTGTTGTTGTTGTTGTCGTCGGAAGATATCTGATGACTAACTTCTTATGTCTTACTTTTAAAGTCTTTTTTTTAATCTCTTGTTTTGTTTGTAGAGAAGTTGTTCCCAAAAACTTTACTTTTATTTTTAAGACATATTTTTCTTGTTGTTGTTGTTGTTGTTGTTGTCGTCGGAAGATATCTGATGACTAACTACTTATGTCTTACTTTTTAAAGTCTTTTTTTATCTGTTGTTGTAGTTTTTGTAGAGAAGTTGTTCCCAAAAAAAAACTTTTATTTTTATTATTTTAAGACATCTTTTTCTTGTTGTTGTTGTTGTTGTCGTCGGAAGATATCTGATGACTAACTTCTTATGTCTTACTTTTAATGTCTTTATCTGTTGTTGTTGTTGTTGTGATTAATAATAAGTTTTATCTGATCTCCAAAAAATAATAAGACAAACGTTTGCATCAATTGTCGGCCAAACGTTTTTACGATACGGGTTTCGGTGACGACGCCGTCGGTCTCGAACTGGGAGTCGAACCCTGGATTGACAACCTGTTCGGTGCACTACTCAAACATTTTAACGCCTACACCACTGTCTCGATACCTACCGTTGTTGAGGTCAAAGTCTTACCAGTGATCGTGGATCAACTGTCGGGCAATATGTCTACCATTGAGAACTTACCGATAATGGTCACCGAAGACCCGAAATTGTCGCAACTAACCGAACTAACACTACCGTTGATATCGAGTAAATCGTTGGCATTTCAAGTCAAACTTTGGGAAACACTTCCCGAAAAATATCAGCCAAAAGAGTTTCCATTTCCTTTGTTGCCAGTCATGGACTCACAGATAACTGATTCAACAATTGTTTCAATGAGACAATTGTCGGCCAGTAATGATGATGACAGTGATGTAGTCACTGATTACAAGACAATACTTGAGGCAACCGTTAGATTAGACGATAATAGCAGTGATGTCATCGCCTATGAAGCGGGCGATTCGTTCGGTTTTATTATTGGCAACTATGATGAAGAAGTGGATCAACTAATCGACTATTGTTTAGATCTTCAATCCGACAAACGTGACTATTATTGCCAAATACTAACCACCGAACTGTTTCCACATTTACCATCAATTAGTAAAGTCAAGGATCTCTTAAAATACTATTTAGAACTAAGATCTGTACCTAAGAAGTCATTTTTGAGACATTTAGCCGATTTCTGTAGTGATTTAGCTCACAAAAGACGACTTCTTGAGCTGAGTAGTCGCGAAGGTTCCGATGACTATAACAAATACATACGAAATAATTTTGTCAACATTTTGGATATTCTTCGGCTATTCGATTCGTGTCGACCACCGCTAGCGGTATTGTTGGCCAATATTGCTTGTCATACACCACGATATTACAGTGTCTGCAATGGACCGGATCCTGAAAATCGTAATCAATTCAAAATAGCATTTTCGGTAACCGAATTCCAGCCAAGAAATCAGCGTAAAGACAGTCAACTATTGGGTGTATTTACTGGACAGTTGTCGAGACTTTTTAATCGGCGGCAAAAGTCAAGTACCGTTGATATCGGTGGCGGCGATATTGCCGATCAATTGACAAAACTATCGCTCGAATCGGACCTGAGGTGTCTTAAAGTATTTAAACGCAAGAATCCATATTTCAAATTACCGGCAACAGTGTCGACACCGATCATAATGATTGGTTCGGGTACTGGTGTCGCACCGTTTGTCGGTTTTCTTGAACAACGACAACTAGTTGGCCGCACTCAGAGGTCAGCGATTCCTAGTGGCGAATGTTGGCTACTATACGGTTGCCGATATCGGCGTAAGGATTACATATACGGCGATCAACTGAAACAGTTTGTTGACGACCGAGTGTTGACACAACTGTGCGTTTGTTTTTCAAGAGATGTGACGCCGACGACCATCACTGATGGCGGCAACGGTGGCGGTGGCGGTGATGAAGAATCACCGAAATATGTCCAGAATCTGATCCAAAAGTACGGACAATCACTATACAAATTGATTGATACGAAACGTGCGATTGTCTACGTATGCGGTGACCTGAAAGGCATGTCCATCGATGTCTACAACGCTTTCGTGGCCATTGTCGAGCAAAATGGTCACAAAAGTCGCGAAGATTCTGTCAAATATGTTCGCCAATTGCAGTCCGATCGCCGATATTTACAAGATATATGGACATGAAATCATTTTTTTTTATTTTTAATTAATTATTTTTAAAATTTTTGATATTTTTTTATTTTATTAAATATTAATAGATAGATAGATATTTAATCAAGATAATAAATTAATTATATTTTATTTTATTTTTTTTCGGTAAATTAATTGATAATGAAGTAAACCTACGGGTATTTTATTTATGTTTGTGACTGTATTTTAGTGGTCACTTATTTTTGTATGACCTTGTATGATTTATATTTTTAATTAATTAGTTTTAAAATTTTTTTTTTTTAATTAAATAGATATTTAATCAAGATAATAAAATAATTACCGCGGTATATATATATATATATATATATATATATTTCGGTAAATTAATTGATAATGAAATAAAATACGGGTATCGTATTGATTGCCGATATAATTATTATTTTTTTTGTGTGACTATTTTAGTGGTCACTTATTTTTGTATGACCATTAGCCGAGTTGGCTATTATCGGGTGGGGGAGGGGGCGGTGACCAAGTTGGCCAGTGATTGTTGCTGCTATTGTTTAGTTTTTTTTTTTGGTTGTTGGTTGGTTGGTTGTTAATGTTATACTGTTATAACTTATTCCCCCCCCCCATCCCCCCGATAATAGGCAAAAAATAAACTGTAGTTTCAAAAGTTAAGTTTCAAATCAGAAAATAAATGTATAATAATTTTATTTTGTGTGTTTGTTTGGACGTATTTAATGGATAGTATCACTCAATAGACATATACAGTACAGTAGTGTTTGTATTGTTGTATAAAAAACACACACTATTTGTAAACACATTGTGTTTATTATTGTCATTACATTCAAACACAAAACAAACACTCAGTAGTGGTCGACAATCACCGCAACTGATCCCACAATAGTCTGGACAACAACAACAACAACAACAACAACAACAACAACAACAACAATGGAGACCCTATTGGAACAACAGAGACGATATCATGAAGAAAGAGAGCGAATCGAAGACTCGATGGTCAAAGAACAGATGGCCAAAAAAAGTTCGGTAAGTACCGGCCATTGATTACCGGCTATCGGCTGGCGGGCGGGCGGGCGGCCGGCCAATGACTAACATATGATTTGTATATATGTCTTACTAGTTATTATTATTATTATTATTATCTTTTTTTTTTTTTTGAATCCATCAGAATAGGGATCAAATCAATTCCGATCATCGATTGAAGATACTTCTCGACGTAAGTGTTTTGTGTGTGTGTGTGACCACTGTTACCGCCGCTGCCGGCCAACCAACCAACCAAACCAACCGGCTATACGGGTGGTCAACAGTGGATTTTAAAGCACCGATTATGATATAATAACCGCTATTTTGTTTTTGTTTGTTTGTCTGTCTGTCTGTCCCATCATTTTAGCGATACGTCGAGTGTAGCGAAAATCTGCTTGAATTGTATGAAGACGGCGACGGTAGCCGAAAGTCCGAGTTGGAGGCCATGTCCGGACCCAATGAATTTTCTGAATTTTATTTGCGTCTAAAAAATATCAAAGAGTTTTACCGAAAACATCCGAATGAGATCAGTATACCGATGTCCGTAGAGTTTGACGAGTTTTTGAAATTAAGAGAAAATCCCAATGAAATCAATTTAGTCGACTTTACCGACGAAGAAGGTTACGGAAAGTTTCTGGATTTGAACCAATGTTTCGAAAAGTATATCAATCTGAAGGGCATTGTCGACAAAATCGATTATTTAACTTATTTGTCATGTTTTGATCAATTGTTTGATATACCGAAAGATAAGAAACTGAATGCCGATTACGGCCACTATTTGGAGGCATTGCTCGACTATTTGCAGGACTATTGTGGACGAGTTAAGCCATTGTTGCCGCTTCCGGAGGTACAGTAGTTTATTTTTAAAAAAAAAAATAATACCGTAATTGTTATATAAATTGTTTCACACATGTATTTTATGTGGTATTAATAGTTTTTGTTGTTTTGATTACCGTTTGATTTAGATTATGGACAAAGTTGTGGCCGATTTTGAGCGCCAATGGGAAGTCGGAACCTTTCAGGGATGGCCGGTAAGTCATATCACCCGTTAAATAGCTATATATATATATACAGTATATTAATTATCGGTAAATATTTATGTTTGTTTTCTATATACTATTAGAAAGAGGCCGGCAGTGTACTGACCAAAGCGGGCGCCCATTTAGATCTATCGGCATTCAATTCGGTCGAAGAGTTGGCTTCACTCGGTTTGGATCGCCTAAAGTCAGGACTGGTAGCACTGGGCTTGAAGTGCGGCGGAACTCTCGATGAACGGGCCAATCGTTTATGGCAAACAAAAGGTAAATCTGTGGACGAAATTGATCCGTCATTGTTTGCTAAGTCATCGAAGAAGAATAAGTCGGGCGGCGGCGGCGGTGGCGGCGGTAAAAGTAAAGATATTGGCCGACAAAAAGAGTTGGCACTATTGGAAGCACAGGTTTATCGATTGTCGGAGATATTGTCGGAACAGAGACAGGCAACCAAAGAGAATGTCCAGAGAAAACAGGCCCGAACTGCTGGCGAACGACAGGAATCAGATGAAGAGGTATCCGAATCGGAATCAGATGACGAACAGGAAACGGATGTTGTGTATAATCCGAAAAATTTGCCGCTCGGCTGGGATGGTAAACCCATACCGTATTGGTTATATAAATTGCACGGTTTGAATATTACGTATACGTGCGAAATCTGTGGTAACGCTACCTATAAGGGACCGAAAGCATTTCAGCGACATTTTGCTGAGTGGCGACACGCGCACGGTATGCGCTGTCTGGGTATACCCAATACGGCACACTTTGCCAACGTTACGTCCATCGAGGATGCGCTGGCATTGTGGCAGAAACTGAAAGATGAAAAACATAAGGAAAAGTTTCAGGCGGCCAATGAAGAAGAATATGAAGACTCGAAAGGCAATGTCGTCAACAAGAAGACCTACGAAGATCTTAAGCGCCAGGGATTGCTATAGTTGTTGTCTATCAGTACTATCACTATCATCTGATCCATTAGATTAGCATCAATAAGATATACCGTAATTGAAATCAATAATTGATGGTTTCATTTATATAAATCAATATATTATCACTTTATTTGTTTGTTTGCTATCAATCATAACATCAAATATACATATAGTTATTTGATATGATATTTAATTGGTTTATATATATTTTAAAAATAATAATTAATTATTAATATTTATTATTAATTTTTTTTATTAATATTCGTATATTTAATTTATATTATTATTATTATAATTATACTGTATAAGTAATTTAAATAAATAAATAATTAAAATATGTCAAAATTTTGAATGAATCTATGAAAGTATTATTGTATTTTTTGTTTGTGTAACCAATTAATTTATATAATAATTTATTGACTTTTAATTACTATAAATACTATAATTACTATATAATTAAATTGTTTTATAACTTATATTTAATAATTTATAATTAAAAGTGTGTGTGTGTGTGTGTATGTATGTGTGTATGTGCGTGTGTATGTGTGTGTATGTATGTATGTGTGTGTGTATGTGTGTGTGTATGTGTGTGTGTGTATGTATGTATGTGTGTGTGTATATGTATGTGTTATAAAAAAATTTAACCATGGACACATATATATAATTATCACCTAGATCAATATATCAATAATACATACAATTGGTATATCTTATTAATAATACATGTATTAATGATATAAATCAAGACCACGTGGTCTGTCAAACAAACAAACAAAACACATGTGTTTTCAAGTACTGTATGTAAACATTATATACAGTATTGCAGTCATTATAATCATTAAAAAATATATATATATATTTATCTACCGATTGATAACAAAGTGGTCACCCGATGGACAACAACAACAACAACGGCGATCATAATATCATTGACGATGAAGTGGCCGATGATGACGACAACAGCGGCGGCGGTGGCGGAAATGATGACCAGTCAATGACTACCGGTGGCAGTGGCGGCGGCCGTCCGAAGTCATTGGTCCAGTTGTACGCCCAACGAACCGATGCGTTGGCCATTATTAAGACACGTATAGCCAATCATTCGGTAGCCGTTATAACACATCCGGAAATCAATATGAATCGGCTGAGAGATTTGTTGGCCATGTTTGACATCCGATCCGATGACAAACAGTACGGATTGGTATTTTTTTCCGTACAAAAGTTGGTCGCATTGGCTGCCGCCGAGGTATTCAAAGATATTTTGCCGAACTATAGGGTTAAGGAAAAGATTAACGAAGAAGAAGACGAGAAGAATGCCCGACGAAAAAACTTTCAGCTGAAAAAAGAGACGAAACGTTTGCGCGAATACGAGAAGACTTTGATCCAATTGTATCGTTTGTTTTTGAATCGTTTGAATCGTATGGTCGATGCCGTACGCTATCGGCCGAAAAAATCCCAGAAGAAAAACGTGGCCCAGAAATCGGATTTCTATGACCAGATGGGTGTCAGCGATCGGGCGAAACAACGTTTGGCTATTATTGGTGTTAAATGTTTGTCCCAATTGGTGTTAACACATCCGCACTTCAATTTTCGTCAACAAATTGTCGAAACTTTAGTGCAGTTGATGGCCAATACCCGGGTAGCGGAGTTGGCCGATATTAGCTGTCAGACTGTCGAACGTATCTATCGATCGGATAAATTGGGCGAAATATCGGCGGAAGCAGTCAAAGAGACGGCCAAACTGGTCAAACAGCGTAACTATCGACTGCCGGCCCGCGTATTGCGTACACTACTGGCTCTTCGTATCAAAGAAGTGAACGGTACGGAAGAAAAAAAGAAAGATATGAAAGAATTGCGCAATCGATTGGATTTGATGTCACGTAAGGAACGTAAACGCAATAAACGGATGCAAAAGATGGACAACCAGTTGCTGGAAACCGAAGCCCAAGAGAGCCATCAGCGACGGCTTGCGTTTCATACGGAAATATTGAATCAGATATTTGTCACCTACTTTAGGATATTGAAACACCAATCGGAGATCAACTATGGCAGCGGCGGCGGTGGTGGTGGTGGTAATCATACCGATGATATCAAATCGTTTAACGTATTGTTGACACCAGTACTGGAAGGACTGTCCAAATTTGCACATCTAATCAATTATGAATTTTTCGACGATCTAATCGGACACATGTATCGGCTGATACACGACAAGTGTCTGGACAGTCGCCAAACGTTTCACTGTTTGCAAACCGTTTTTACTATACTATCCGGCGAAGGCCAGGCACTGAACATTGATTTTCATCGTTTCTACGCTGAACTCTACGGTAAACTGATGGCCATCGACTGTACAACCGATACGGATGACGTCCGGGTATTACTTAGTTGTTTGCATTCAATGATTATCAAACGCAAGAAACAGATGACCCAGAATCGGGTCCTGGCGTTCACCAAACGATTGGCCACTATATCGCTAAACTCTGGCTACGAAACAACTGTATCATTGCTGGCCGTTGTTCGCCAGATAATGCAGAATCACAAGTACAGCGATATCCTATTGGACTCGGAGGACACTGTAGGCAGTGGCCTATATCAGCCCGATGTTGACGACCCGGAACACTGCAATGCTAACAGTACACAGCTCTGGGAGTTGACAGCATTGACCAAACACTACGAACCGCTGGTCAGGCAATACTCCCGACATATTATCAATGGTTCATCGGGTAATGAAGTATCGTTTAATGTATTGAAAAGATTTCCATCGGAATTGTTGGACGAGTTTACCGACTCGATTGGCGGCAGTGACTACAATTGGTTTGTCCAGCAAACCAATCAACCCGTACGGAAAAAATTGAAATTTAATTTTTCATTAATCAATTCGGATGATAGCCTAACAACTAAATGCTTGAATTATTTGCAAAACATATAATAATTGATTTATTTTTTTTGTATTAAATTAAATTTTGAATAATAATTGATTTTTACTTTTATTTATTTAATTTATTTATAAATAAATTATATTTTTATTACCGTAATTTAAGTATAGATACAGTATATCATTTCAAGTTAAGCATTATTACAGTTTTTTTTTTAATAAGTGATTAAAATATTTAGCACTAAAAAAAAGTTTTTAAAATATTTATATTTATATTATAAGTATTAAATTATTATCATATTTAAGTTATAACAATAACTACACAAAAATAAAAACACTAATAATAAGATTTATAATTATGTATTAAAATCGTTGATTAATATCTAAGTGATTGAAAATTTGAAATATAATATTAGTTTTTTTTTTAAATATCAAATATATGTGTGAATTATTTAAATTAATATTTACAAAAAAAACAAACTAAAATAACTTGAAATACAGTAATAATAATAATAATAAGTCAAAAATAGTAATTAATGTCAATTAAATTAAAATTAAATTATTAATAATAATATTATTATTATTTTAAGTTTTTTTTAATAAAAAAAAAGTTGAATCAAATGAAAAAAAATTAAAGCAAATAATAATTCAAATAAAATTATTAGTATTAAGCAAACAATTGGTATTTTCTATGGATTTTATTTGATTACAAATGATAACCCATTGCTTGAAATATTTGGATTCAAATGTCTTCGGCTTCAATGAACTACTGTCCACCGATTGTGTCCACGAATTGGTTGCCGATGTTAACAACAACAGCAACAACAACAACACCCGAAATCTTAAACTACAAACAAAAAAGTTAATATCACTTATATTTAGTTTACAAAAAAAAACATATTCAATAACTATTGTTAAAAAAAAAGTTAAACAGTAATTATCATTATATATATATATAATTTTTGTCATTAACTTTACTATACTTTATAACATTAGTTTCATTGATGACTAACTATATATATATATATATATACTGTATATATGATCCTAAACTTGTAGTCAATTATATATATATATATAAATCCAGTCATTTATCAGTCACTATATATATCAATATATACCGGTATATACACTGTATATTGTGTTTGTGATATTCATACCAATCATATACCGTATATATTCATATTTATAACTAATTAATCGTTTTTTTAAATTTAAAAAAACAACAAAATATTTTAGTTGAAAAACTTAAAGCCACCCAAAAAAAAATGTCAACCAATATGTACGGGCATTACGACTACGACCGCTACCCTGAGGGCCACGTAAATGAAGATAAAGACGGATCGGCACTTGTTATCGACAACGGCTCCGGTATGTGTAAGGCTGGCTTCGCTGGCGATGAAGAGCCCACTACTATCTTACCGACAGTTGTCGGCCGATCCCGTGAACAGGGACTGGTAGCGAAAGGAATCGGTAAGAAAAAGTGGGACGACTCGTATGTCGGCAATGAGGCCCAGTCTCGTAGAGATATACTGGCCATGAACTACCCGATCGAACGGGGATTGGTTACCAATTGGGATGATATGGAGACTGTATGGCACCACACCCTATACAATGAGCTCCGGGCGATAACCGAAAGACATCCGATTCTACTGACTGAGTGTCCACTGAATCCGAAAGCGAATCGCGAAAAATCGGTTCAGATTATGTTCGAGACGTTCGATATGCCGGCCATGTATTTGGCCAATCAGGCCGTCCTATCGTTGTACGCGTCCGGACATATTACCGGTATTGTTGTGGACAGCGGCTACACTGTTACGCATACCGTACCCGTCTATAACGGTTACGCATTGCAGTACGCTATCCAACGACTCGATTTGGCCGGACGTGACTTAACTGATTATCTCGTAAAGATGTTGTCCACCAAAGCCAGCTATTCATTGACCACAACATCGACCGATAGAGATATTGTTGGCGACATCAAAGAAAAGTTGTGTTACGTCGCCCATGACTTTGAACAAGAGATGGCCTCTTCATCGACGACATCATTGGACAAGTCATACAAATTACCCGACGGACAGGTGATCACTGTTGGCAGCGAACGATTCCGTTGTCCCGAAGCCCTATTTCAGCCATCATTGTTGGGTCGGCCGGAGTTGTCGTTGTTGTCGTCCGGTATTCACCAAACCTTATATAACTCGATCATGAAGTGTGACGTCGATATCCGTGAGGACATGTACTCCTATATAGTACTATCTGGTGGTAACACTATGTTTACGGGTATGGATTAACTATATCACCTACAGATACATACATACAGACACACATACATACAGACACACATACATACAGACACACATACATACATACAGACACACACATACATACAGACACACACACACATACAGACACACACATACATACACACACACATACATACAGACACACACATACATACAGACACACACATACATACAGACACACACATACATACAGACACACACATACATACAGACACACACATACATACAGACACACACATACATACAGACACACATACATACAGACACACATACATACAGACACACACACATACATACACACACACATACATACAGACACACACATACATACAGACACACACATACATACAGACACACAGTTAAGTATTTATTGTTTGCAATAATAATAATAATAATTTTAAAAATAATTATTTATATTAAGGAATGGCTGACAGAATGCAAAAAGAAATGCAATCATTAGCCCAGTCGTCGTCGTCGTTGTCGTCGCCGATGAATATTAAGATCATAGGACCGTCTGCTAAATACAAGCACCCAATTTGGACGGGCGGTTCAATCATGGCCTCACTGTCCAGTTTCCAACAAATGTGGATCTCGAAGCAACAATACAATGAAACGGGTCCATCGATTGTCCATCGATTATGCTTTTAAAAAACAAAACAAAACAAACAAAAATTAGTTTTTACGGCCAATTGTCTCGTAATTGTCTATTATTATTATTATAATAATTATTTTGTGTTTAATTCAAAAAAAAAATGATTTCCAAAGTTTTCAACAATAATAATATATATATATATATATACTGTATATATAATTGTCTCGCACTTTGTATATTATAAATCAAATATATTAAAAATTTAATTAATTAATATAATTATATTAATCAGTATTCAGTTATTAATCAGATTAAACAGTTTATTAGTAATCAGTAATCAATTTAATAGATTTAAACAGTTTTGTTCACAAAACCAAACACATTTTAAGACACAATTCATGCCCAACACGCCAACAGTTGACATCTCAACGGCAAAGATTGGGTTCATCGGTGCCGGCAAAATAACCCAAGCATTAATCCACGGTTTCGTCAGATATGGCAAAGTAGAGGCCAGTCGTATACATGTGTCGGCACCGACCACCAAAAATTTGGAACGACTCAAACAACAGTATTCAGGACTTCATATAACCCGAAGAAATTTGGACATCTTTCGGGACTATAATTGTACGTATATATTCATAGCCGTTTGCGGGTCGGCTATTCGGGAGTGTTTCCGAAAGGCGACCGATAACAATGGCCGACCGTTTCCATTAACCTACCAGTATATACCATATGCAAGAAAACGACAATTTATTTTCTCATTGGTCAATGGCTTTACCATCAAAGATATCAGTCAATGCCTACTGAATCCCGAACATCCGGAGAAGTATTTGATAGAAATGCACAGAATTGTTGTGAGCTGCTGCCGGACGGCCAGACTCGGGATCTGTGCCATTGACTGTTGCAACCCGTACAGCAAACTGCCACTGCCTATCATGGGTATGCTGACCGAGGTGGCGGCACTCGAATACATACACGAACAACACATGGACGCCACTTGCGCGCTACTCGGCTCCGGACTGGCCTTTAGCTACTATTTCATCGGTGCTATGATTGACGGCGCCCGTAAATCGGGCCTATCAATGGATAAGGCAACAAAACTGACGGCCCTGATCTGTCAATCGGTAGCCGATTGTTTACTAGACCCACTAATTTGTCCAACAGAACAGTGGGATGGCATATGCGCACCCGATATACCGGCCGTTTACGGTATCCAATTGATGGACAAAGCCGACTGTTCATCAGCTGTGGCCGAAGCACTCGCGGCCGCACAGGAAAGAGCCGCCAAATTGGCCAAAGAAGGCGTGAAAAATTGAAAGAAGTGATAATCGAGTTGTGATTAAGAAGTTTTTGTTTGTTTTGTTTTTTGTTTAACTGATTCATACAAATTCATAATAAAATTAATAGAAATTAAAACAATTTTTATTTTTTTATTTATTAATTAATATTAAAAACATAATTAAATTCATAGTTTTTTTTTGTAAAAAAACAATGTGATATATAGTTAATCCATACCCGTAAACATAGTGTTACCACCAGATAGTACTATATAGGAGTACATGTCCTCACGGATATCGACGTCACACTTCATGATAGAGTTATATAAGGTTTGGTGAATACCGGACGACAACAACGACAACTCCGGCCGACCCAACAATGATGGCTGGAATAGGGCTTCGGGACAACGGAATCGTTCGCTGCCAACAGTGATCACATGTCCGTCGGGTAATTTGTTAAGATAATCAGTTAAGTCACGTCCGGCCAAATCGAGTCGTTGGAGAGCGTAGGTCAACGCGTAATCGTTATAAACAGGTACGGCATGCGTAACAGTGTAGCCGCTGTCCATCACAATACCGGTAATATGTCCCGAAGCGTACAACGATAGGACGGCCTGATTGGCCAAATACATGGCCTTCGTATCGAACGTCTCGAACATAATCTGAACCGATTTTTCGCGATTCTCTTTCGTATTCAGCGTTAACTTCTTTGATCCGCAGAGCCAGTAGTGTACGCAATACGCGGGCCGGCAGTCGATAGTTACGCTGTTTGACCAGTTTGGTCGTCTCTTTGACTGCTTTCGTCGATATTACGGTCTAACAGCTAATGTCGCGATCAACTCTGCTACCCGTGTATTGGCCATCAACTGTACTAAAGTTTCGTCAATTTGTTGACGAAAATTGAAGTGCGGATGTGTTAACAACAATTGCGTCAGACAAATCGGGAGTATTGCCTGACTAGCGGTTCGTAGCGTTTGGTCAGTGCTGTCAGCTCCCAGAGCTGTGTACTGCTGTTAGCATTTCAGTGTTCCGGGTCGTCAACATCGGGCTGATATAGGCCACTGCCTACAGTGTCCTCCGAGTCCAATAGGATATCGCTGTACTTGTGATTCTGCATTATCTGGCGAACAACGGCCAGCAATGATACAGTTGTTTCGTAGCCAGAGTTTAGCGATATAGTGGCCAATCGTTTGGTGAACGCCAGGACCCGATTCTGGGTCATCTGTTTCTTGCGTTTGATAATCATTGAATGCAAACAACTAAGTAATACCCGGACGTCATCCGTATCGGTTGTACAGTCGATGGCCATCAGTTTACCGTAGAGTTCAGCATAGAAACGATGAAAATCAATGTTCAGTGCCTGGCCTTCGCCGGATAGTATAGTAAAAACGGTCCTTCCAGTACTGGTGTCAACAATAGGTTAAACGATTAGATATCATCGGTATGATTACCACCACCGCTGCCATAGTTGATCTCCGATTGGTGTTTCAATATCCTAAAGTAGGTGACAAATATCTGATTCAATATTTCCGTATGAAACGCAAGCCGTCGCTGATGGCTCTCTTGGGCTTCGGTTTCCAGTAACTGGTTGTCTATCTTTTGCATCCGTTTATTACGTTTACGTTCCTTACGAGACATCAAATCCAATCGATTGTGTAATAGTTAATCCATACACGTATACATAGTGTGTCTGTATGTGTGTCTGTATGTGTGTCTGTATGTGTGTCTGTATGTGTGTCTGTATGTGTGTCTGTATGTGTGTCTGTATGTGTGTCTGTATGTGTGTCTGTATGTGTGTCTGTATGTATGTATTTGTAGGTGATATAGTTAATCCATACCCGTAAACATAGTGTTACCACCAGATAGTACGATATTTGCGTACATTTCCTCAGAGAGATCGACGTCACACTTCATGATCGAGTAATACAGTATAAGGTTTGGTGAATACCGGACGACAACAACGACAACTCCGGCCGACCCAACAATGACGGCTGGAATAGGGCTTCGGGACAACGGAATCGTTCGCTGCCAACAGTGATCACCTGTCCGTCGGGTAATTTGTATGACTTGTCCAATGATGTCGTCGATGAAGAGGCCATCTCTTGTTCAAAGTCATGGGCGACGTAACACAACTTTTCTTTGATGTCGCCAACAATGTCTCTATCGGTCGATGTTGTGGTCAATGAATAGCTGGCTTTGGTGGACAACATCTTTACGAGATAATCAGTTAAGTCACGTCCGGCCAAATCGAGTCGTTGGATAGCGTACTGCAGTGCGTAACCGTTATAGACGGGTACGGTATGCGTAACAGTGTAGCCGCTGTCCACCACAATACCGGTAATATGTCCCGAAGCGTACAACGATAGGACGGCCTGATTGGCCAAATACATGGCCGGCATATCGAACGTCTCGAACATAATCTGAACCGATTTTTCGCGATTCGCTTTCGGATTCAGTGGACACTCAGTCAATAGAATCGGATGTCTTTCGGTTATCGTCCGGAGCTCATTGTATAGGGTGTGGTGCCATACAGTTTCCATATCATCCCAATTGGTAACCAATCCCCGTTCGATCGGGTAGTTCATGGCCAGTATATCTCTATGAGAATGGGCTCCATTGCCGACATACGAGTCCTTCCATTTTTTCTTATCGATTCCTTTCGCTACCAGTCCCTGTTCACGGGATCGGCCGACAACCGTGGGTAAGAAAGTAGTGGGCTCTTCATCGCCAGCGAAGCCAGCCTTAAACATACCGGAGCCGTAGTCGTTGATAAAATAAGTGCCGATCCGTCTTTATCTTTGTTTTTGTTGTCCTTATAATAGCTGTTTGAAGTGATAGTCGTATTCGTAATACCCGTACAAATTAGTTGACATTTTTTTATGGCAAAGTTTTTCAACCAAAAAAAAAAAACGATAAATTAGTTATAAATATGAATATATATATATATATATATATATATATATATATATATACTGTATATCTCTGATGATCAATTATGCTATCATGATAGATTTTTGAATTTAACTTTATTACGTATTTTATGCTAATGTTAATAATATAACTTACTCATTTACAAATAAACTATTACTATAAAAATTATTTTTTGTCCTATTATATTTAAAACTGTCTCAATACAAGCAAAACCAAAACAATAATAGCCGTCACACAATGATACCATATAACACAGTAGTTTATGTATATAAACGCAATATTGTTTTGGTTTTATTTGTGAGACAATTTTTTATTAATATTCAAAAAATATTTAAAATATATTTTATTAAAAAAAATTTTACCCTAATAAATTTTGTTATGTTATATTTGTTTTATTTATTTAGTTTTAATATTTTTTGTATAATTAACGTTGCAGGGACCAATTAATAATAAACCTTTGAGAGCATCACAGATGTATATGATTGGTATGAATATACAATATACTGTAATTAGGGTTAGATCAGATTCCCTCCCTCGTCTTATATTCCATAAGTTCCTTATATTCCTTCTTCCCTGGGAATTACCAGGGAAGGCTTTTCCTTGTGGTACCACCTATCGAACCCTAATCCATATTACATCATGTTTTATCAAAAACACGTTTGTTTAGTTATTTTTGAGTTATTTTTAAATATTTCAATATAATACTGAGTTGTTGATAATAAAAGAGCCGAATAACTGGAACGCTTAAAATTTAATTATTAGCTTTATTATCTACTTAACTACACTAAAAATTACAAATTACTCTTAATCTTATTTTTTAGTTCATAAAAAAAAATTTGAGTTATTTTTAAATATTTCAATATAATACTGAATTGTTGATATTTAAAAACCAAATAACTAAAACGTTTAAAAATTAATTATTAGCTTTATTATCTACTTAAATACACAAAAAATTACAAATTTTGCTTAATCTTATTTTTTAGATCATTTTAAAATTTTCTGTTATTTTTAAATATTTCAATATAATACTGAATTGTTGATAATAAAAGAGCCGAATAACAGGAACGCTTAAAATTTAATTATTAGCTTTATTATCTACTTAACTACACTAAAAATTACATATTTCGCTTAATCTCATTTTTAAGTTCATTTTAAAATTTTCAGTTAATTTTAAATATTTCAATATAATACTGAATTGTTGATATTTAAAAACCAAATAACTGCAACGTTTAAAAATTAATTATTAGCTTTGTTATCTACTTAACTACACTAAAAATTACAACTTTCGCTTAATCTTATTTTTTAGTTCATAAAATAAATTTGAGTTATTTTTAAATATTTCAATATAATACTGAATTGTTGATAATAAAAAAGCCGAATAACTGGAACGCTTAAAATTTAATTATTAGCTTTATTATCTACTTAACTTCACTAAAAATTACATATTTCGCTTAATCTTATTTTTTAGATCATTTTAAAATTTTCTGTTATTTTTAAATATTTCAATATAATACTGAATTGTTGATAATAAAAGAGCCGAATAACTGGAACGCTTAAAATATAATTATTAGCTTTATTATCTACTTAACTACACTAAAAATTACAAATTAYGCTTAATCTTATTTTTTAGTTAATAAAAAAAATTTCAGTTATTTTTAAATATTTCAATATAATACTGAATTGTTGATAATAAAAGAGCCGAATAACTGGAACGCTTAAAATTTAATTATTAGCTTTATTATCTACTTAACTACACTAAAAATTACAAATTTCGTTTTATCTCATTTTTAAGTTCATTTTAAAATTTTCAGTTATTTTTAATTATTTCAATATAATACTGAGTTGTTGATAATAAAAGAGCCGAATAACTGGAACGCTTAAAATATAATTATTAGCTTTATTATCTACTTAACTACACTAAAAATTACAAATTTTGCTTAATCTTATTTTTTAGTTCATTTTAAAATTTTCAGTTATTTTTAAATATTTCAATATAATACTGAATTGTTGATAATAAAAGAGCCGAATAACTGGAACGCTTAAAATTTAATTATTAGCTTTATTATCTACTTAACTACACTAAAAATTACAAATTTTGCTTAATCTTATTTTTTAGATCATTTTAAAATTTTCTTTTATTTTTAAATATTTCAATATAATACTGAGTTGTTGATAATAAAAGAGCCGAATAACTGGAACGCTTAAAATATAATTATTAGCTTTATTATCTACTTAACTACACTAAAAATTACAAATTTTGCTTAATCTTATTTTTTAGATCATTTTAAAATTTTCTTTTATTTTTAAATATTTCAATATAATACTGAATTGTTGATAATAAAAGAGCCGAATAACTGGAACGTTTAAAATTTAATTATTAGCTTTATTATCTACTTAGCTACACTAAAAATTACAAATTTCGCTTAATCTCATTTTTAAGTTCATTTAAAATTTTCAGTTATTTTTAAATATTTCAATATAATACTGAATTGTTGATAATAAAAGAGCCGAATAACTGGAACGCTTAAAATTTAATTATTAGCTTTATTATCTACTTAACTACACTAAAAATTACAAATTTTGCTTAATCTTATTTTTTAGATCATTTTAAAATTTTCTTTTATTTTTAAATATTTCAATATAATACTGAGTTGTTGATAATAAAAGAGCCGAATAACTGGAACGCTTAAAATTTAATTATTAGCTTTATTATCTACTTAACTACACTAAAAATTACAAATTTCGCTTAATCTCATTTTTAAGTTCATTTTAAAATTTTCAGTTATTTTTAAATATTTTAATATAATACTGAATTGTTGATAATAAAAGAGCCGAATAACTGGAACGTTTAAAATTTAATTATTAGMTTTATTATCTA